TTTCACCTGGAGTAACCAGAGTTTGTATGCAAGCGTGTTTTGGCTGGCAAAGTGCAGAGTACAAGAAGTATGTCACTGTGACCTAGATGAGATAGGTAAATACACTAATACAACTCAGTAAATAAAGAAATCATTACTGATGGGGGACTTTGGATTATAATTACCATGGAATACTTGGTTTGTTTCTGTTGTTATAAAGTAAAAAAGCACAATACATAAGACAATACATTGCATGTTCATAGTCTTCAAACTCCCTTGTTGGTAAGTGAAAAGACTGGATCAAATACACAGTGAACTTCAAAAAGTCATGGTAAATCAAATCAACTTCATATATCATATGTTAGTTCATGATAGCTACTAATGACAGACTGACACTACAACAACTACTAATGTTGAGCTCATACTTAAGGCAAGAGCAAAACTTTGAATTAGATTAGAATTGACTTTGTTACTGGGAAAAACTAATAACATTTCTATCTTTCGGTAAGTTTCCAATAGTTAAATATTTCCATTAATGACCCGGAACCCATGGTTCATTGAATTGGTACTTGTATAATATAACACATTTACTGAATTTAACTTGTTGAATATTGTAAAACTGTGGATTATAAAATGATGTAGATATGATTGAGCACAAGTACAGGATGAGGGCACTGATTGTTCTTAATGAAAAATAAACAGGACCAAAACAGACTTCTGTACATGTCTAATTACGGTTCTATTATGATTGGTTGGTTAATTTTGGCACCTGTCCCATCCAGGTTAATCGTTTAAGCAAGATCCTAAAACAGGTAATCTCGTTGACTTCATTGTTGACATGAGACGTACATTTTGTCAGAATTCTTCTCGTCAATATTATGGTTTACTCACATAGCAACAAATCACTTAAGTTAATCTCCCAAAATCAGGATGTCACTTCAGGTTATAAAAAAATATATAATAAATAAGACTTTATCAACAGCTGATGCATTTTAATTATGATTAAGTATAGTTACCTTGACATCAAAATATTTATCAGTTTGAATAGATGTTTTCTAATTTTAATGGTTATTATTCATGAACATTTAAATTTATGTAAAATGATTTTGACAGATCTATGCATACATGTATGTTTCTATCTAAAACGATGTAACATCTCTTATTGGATGGTTTTGCCAATGGAGACTGAGTTAGGGTATTTGTGTTATACAGTGTATAGGATTGCCTATATGTCTATTCCAAAGAGATCCATCCTCAAAGAGACATGATATCTTCTATACTTGATAGATAGGCCTAAGTGAATGAATTGATGATATATCTAACATACACCAAACATTGTATGTACCGATGTTTCAGAGGTGTTCTTCTTTTTAAAGAGATAACTAACACAATTTAAATGTGTAATGTACATGTACATGTAGTACGATGTTAAGGGGGATACATCTCTTTAACACTAAGATACATGTATAATGTGTCATGTGTAGCATATGTACGTCATTTAGGGGGATACCTCTTTAAAACTAAGATACATGTAGAATGTGTAATGTAGCATATGTACGTCGTTTAGGGGGATCCCTCTTTAACATTAAGATACATGTATAATGTGTAATGTAGCATGTGTATGTCGTTTAGGGGGATACCTCTTTAACACTAAGATACATGAATACCGTGTAATGTAGTATATGTACGTCGTTAAGGGGGATACCTCTTTAACACTAAGACACATGTATAATGTGTGATGTAGTATATGTACGTCGTTTAGGGGGATACCTCTTTAACATTAAGATACATGTCTAATGTGTAATGTAGCATATGTACGTCGTTAAGGGGGATACATCTCTTTAACACTAAGATACATGTATAATGCGTAGCATATGTACGTCATTTAGGGGGATACCTCTTTAACACTAAGATACATGAATACCGTGTAATGTAGTATATGTACGTCGTTAAGGGGGATACCTCTTTAACACTAAGATATATGTATAATGTGTAATGTAGCATATGTACGTTGTTAAGGGGGATACCTCTTTAACACTAAGATATATGTATAATGTGTCATGTAGCATATATACGTTGTTAAGGGGGATACCTCTTTAACACTAAGATATATGTATAATGTGTCATGTAGCATATATACGTTGTTAAGGGGGATACCTCTTTAACACTAAGATACATGTGTAATGTAGCATATGTACGTTGTTAAGGGGGATACCTCTTTAACACTAAAATACATGTATAATGTGTAATGTAGCATATGTACGTCATTTAGGGGGATACCTCTTTAAAACTAAGATACATGTAGAATGTGTAATGTAGCATATGTATGTCGTTTAGGGGGATACCTCTTTAACACTAAGATACATGAATACCGTGTAATGTAGTATATGTACGTCGTTAAGGGGGATACCTCTTTAACACTAAGATACATGTGTAATGTAGCATATGTACGTTGTTAAGGGGGATACCTCTTTAACACTAAAATACATGTATAATGTGTAATGTAGCATATGTACGTCGTTTAGGGAGATACCTCTTTAACACTAAGATACATGTATAATGTTTAATGTAGCATATGTACGTCGTTAAGGGGGATACATCTCTTTAACACTAAGATACATGTATAATGTGTCATGTGTAGCATATGTACGTCATTTAGGGGGATACCTCTTTAAAACTAAGATACATGTAGAATGTGTAATGTAGCATATGTATGTCGTTTAGGGGGATACCTCTTTAACACTAAGATACTTGTATGATACCTCTTTAACACTAAGATACATGTATAATCTGTAATGTACCATATGTACGTCGTTTAGGGGGATACCTCTTTAACACTAACATACATGTATAATGTGTAATGTAGCATATGTACGTCATTTAGGGGGATACCTCTTTAAAACTAAGATACATGTAGAATGTGTAATGTAGCATATGTACGTCGTTTAGGAGGATACCTCTTTAACACTAAGATACATGTATAATCTGTAATGTACCATATGTACGTCGTTTAGGGGGATACCTCTTTAACACTAAGATACATGTGTAATGTAGCATATGTACGTTGTTAAGGGGGATACCTCTTTAACACTAAAATACATGTATAATGTGTAATGTAGCATATGTACGTTGTGTAGGGGGATACCTCTTTAACACTAAGATATATGTATAATGTGTCATGTAGCATATATACGTTGTTAAGGGGGATACCTCTTTAACACTAAAATACATGTATAATGTGTAATGTAGCATATGTACGTTGTTTAGGGGGATACCTCTTTAACACTAAGACACATGTATAATGTGTAATGTAGTATATGTACGTCGTTTAGGGGGATACCTCTTTAACACTAAGATACTTGTATAATGTGTAATGTAGTATATGTACGTCGTTGAGGGGGATACCTCTTTAACATTAAGATACATGTATAATGCGTAATGTAGCATATGTACGTCGTTTAGGGAGACACCTCTTTAACACTAAGATACATGTATAATGTGAAATGTAGCATATGTACGTCGTTAAGGGGGATACATCTCTTTAACACTAAGATACATGTATAATGTGAAATGTAGCATATGTACGTCGTTAAGGGGGATGCCTCTTTAACACTAAGACACATGTATAATGTTTAATGTAGCATATGTACGTCGTTAAGGGGGATGCCTCTTTAACACTAAGACACATGTATAATGTTTAATGTAGCATATGTACGTCGTTAAGGGGGATACATCTCTTTAACACTAAGATACATGTATAATGTGAAATGTAGCATATGTACGTCGTTAAGGGGGATGCCTCTTTAACACTAAGACACATGTATAATGTGTAATGTAGCATATGTACGTCGATAAGGGAGACACCTCTTTAACACTAAGATACATGTATAATGTTTAATGTAGCATATGTACGTCGTTAAGGGGGATGCCTCTTTAACACTAAGACACATGTATAATGTGTAATGTAGTCTATGTACGTCGTTTAGGGGGATACCTCTTTAACACTACGATACATGTATAATGTGTAATGTAGCATATGTACGTCGATAAGGGAGACACCTCTTTAACACTAAGATACATGTATAATGTTTAATGTAGCATATGTACGTCGTTAAGGGGGATGCCTCTTTAACACTAAGACACATGTATAATGTGTAATGTAGTCTATGTACGTCGTTTAGGGGGATACCTCTTTAACACTAAGACACATGTCTAATGTGTAATGTAGCATATGTACGTCGTATAGGGGGATACCTCTTTAACATTAAGATACATATATAATGTGTAATGTAGCATATGTACGTCGTATAGGGGGATACCTCTTTAACATTAAGATACACGTATAATGTGTAATGTAGCATATGTACGTTGTTTAGGGGGATACCTCTTTAACACTAAGACACATGTCTAATGTGTAATGTAGCATATGTACGTCGTTTAGGGAGACACCTCTTTAACACTAAGATACATGTATAATGTGTAATGTAGCATATGTACGTCGATAAGGGAGACACCTCTTTAACACTAAGATACATGTATAATGTGAAATGTAGCATATGTACGTCGTTAAGGGGGATACCTCTTTAACATTAAGATACATATATAATGTGTAATGTAGCATATGTACGTCGATAAGGGAGACACCTCTTTAACACTAAGATACATGTATAATGTTTAATGTAGCATATGTACGTCGTTAAGGGGGATACATCTCTTTAACACTAAGATACATGTATAATGTGTAATGTAGCATATGTACGTCGTTAAGGGGGATACCTCTTTTAGACAAATCACAGCTATAATGTGTAAGGAGAATGATTCTTATACATGATCACAGCTTTATTGTGTAAGGGGGGGGTTTAACTCTATAATATAAATCCTAGACCTGTATGCATGATATGTAATTAAGGGGGTTATATTATATTACTCTTCACAGAAATCACAAATAAAATGTGTCGGGGTACGTATTTATTTTTAATGGTTATATGGTAAATACAATTTGTTTTCTTGTTATTTTTTAGGACTTAAAACCATGCATGATGGGTGACCTTCTGGAATACTTTGAGGAGCGTGCCCGAGTGTTGGACAGCATGGCTCCGACAATTCAAACCTCGGCCGCCATGTGTAACCCTGACTTCATCTCCTGTATCACCTTCAATGGCATCCCGATACTGCCACCTGTGGTAAGTTACTGCCACCATTGTGGCATTGGCTGTCTATATAGAACAGACTTGCCACCCTGGTACTGTAGGTGGTGCAGCCCAAACTTGCTTCCCTGGTTTTACATCTGGACCATACTTTCCACTCTGGTCAGCTGTCCAGACTGAACTTATCACCCAATCAAACTACAATGAGCTTGTCACTCTGGTCAGCTGTCCAGACTGAACTATTACCCAATCAAACTACAATGAGCTTGTCACTCTGGTCAGCTGTCCAGACTGAACTATTACCCAATCAAACTACAATGAGCTTGTCGCTCTGGTCAGCTGTCCAGACTGAACTTATCACCCAATCAAACTACAATGAGCTTGTCACTCTGGTTGTCTGCTGATGAGTATTTACAAGTGTTTGAACCAGGTAGTGATGGTAGACATGGAGTCCCTTGTAGATATATACATATGTATAATGGCTTCATCAATATTAACACACCAACATCAGATGGTGGGCTATTATAATGTTGCCCTTTAAAAATGTCTTAGGTCTGTGGCCTGTCCATTCTTTCTGCGTAAAAATGCATGATAGCTATAGTTTTATTATGACATTGTGTTACAGCTCAATATGTGATGAATGGGAAGTTTCCAGCAGTTGAACGTCTGAGAAATCTCTATTTCACATGTACGATGTCTTTGGGAAATCTCGATTAATACCATGTCTATGGGAAATTTCTATTAATACAGATTACAGTGTCTATGGGAAATCTCTAGTAATACAGTGTCTATGAGAAATCTTGAGGGAGAAATTAAGTTAAGGACATATTCAGTTGTTTATCAGGTTTTGAATTTAGGTATATTCACTATCTCAGTAGGATTTTAGATAGGACATAAAAAAAATATAAATGATGAAAAATGTTCTGATGTGACCACATCAATATCAAATATTTCAGCTAACAGCTCGTCGGCGTGAGGAGATGCAGGAATACAAGCGCCAGGCCATGCGTCGCAATTACCAGCGTAAGACACGCCAGCGAGAACAGATGAACGCGCGCCTTAGTTCTCTGGTGAAGGATGTAGAGGTTTGTAATGTTATCACTACCATCAATTGTATCTCAGGTTTCAAAAGGCTGTATCATTAAGTATCATGTCACAAGATTCTGAAATTCAACAAAGAAACAAAATCTTCTGACCACAAGTAAATGGAACAAAATAAAGTATAAATGTTTTGAATATATATCTTGATTTTAATGTGTTAGTTACAAAAGTACAGAAAAAAATGAGGCCTTTGTTAGTGTTACTTATGGAACATCATGCTAATAACTGTGTGCACCCTCTGTACAAAATGTTACCATTCTGAAATCATAAATACCTTTATAAAAAATTCTACTTGCATTGCCCCGGGCGATGCTATAAAGTTTGGAAACAAGAGATCTCCAATTTTCATTCTCAATTTTAAACCTTCAAGAATTAACACTCTTACCCATAGCAAATACATTGTTTTGATTATTTCTATCTTAAATAATAATGTATGTATAAACAAATAAAATTGAGCAAATCTGCACCACCTGTATAAGTTTCAATTTTCTGTTAATACCATGTCTGTGAATTGCTTTTATAATTGAACATCACGGATATTTCAAACTCTCAAGGGTACGTATGTAGCCTAACCAAGAGTTGATTTCTGTTTTCACAGCCGTCTTTAAACATTTTGAATCAAGACTGTATTGTACATTTTCAGAAAAGTTATTCTCTAAAGTCTCGGGTCAGCCTTCCCCGTACCGTTGGTCTATCCAAACTGCTCGTAGGTGAAATCTGATGTAATAGAACACATGTATATATCTGTATATAGTATACACACACGTAGATGTATAAGTTTTGATGTGGAGTTTCTTTTCTGGGTTTTCTGGGTTGTGGGTTTTGTTGGTATGCTGCTTTGACCATGAAATATATAACCGTTTGTTTGACATTATAAATTTGAACTGACTATTTCTGCTTGTAGCCACAAAGATTATATCTAAATATAAAACTTGCTCCCTCATACCACCTCTGACTTCCAGAATTCTTTTGTCATCTTCATTTTATAAATAAGATTTTCTTAGTAAAGGAAAAAGCCAAGCACGCCTCTTAATAACGTCTTCACAACTTTGTCTTTATTTATAAAATATGAAAGATGATGTAAACATGATTGTTCCGAATTTTGACCTGTTTGGCTGTTTTCTCCAAAACATCTAGGTTAAAGTTATTGCCATAGGTGTTGAAATTCACTTTAATACATGTTTAACCTGAAGTATTTGTATAAGGATGCTGACACTTGGTATTGAGGTTCCCGAGGGGTCAGCCATTGTTACACAGAATAAAAAATAAAAAAAATAAAAATCAATTTTGACCTGTTTTGTACTTTAATTTGCCCTCTATGCCAAAATGTGAAGGTTTGGTCACAAAAAATAACAATATTTTTACCTGGATTGTCATAATTGGCATTTACCAGTAAGTTCCTCAGGAGTAAAACTTGGTTGTACAACACAAACTATTCATTCATCATTCATTAGAGTTATTTCACTTATTTATTTTGAATTGGTTTATTTAATACAAGTATTCTTTGTGTATGTGAACTGTGCTGTTCTCAATACATGTAGGTCTTGTATCAATGATGTGGTGTTGTACCCTGTCCAACGGGGCTTTATATATATTCTTAACCCCTATGTAACTTGAGTAGACTCTACCATGCATTGATATGGATAAGTCCATTATAGTCTACAGTGGTGAAAGGGTTAAAGAAAATCAGGAAAATTGTGATCGAGTGACTTTTTATTTGATATGAATGCAGGTTGCATCCTTTATTTATTACCGGTAATTAAAGTGGTCAATCATATTGGCAAGTCCAAGAAATCCCAGCTTAAATACTTTCCCTTTTCTCACTTAGACCAATTCCGGCATATATACCCATGTATACAATGGAGTATCATATTTGCATACTCAGCAATATGTCCTACCCGGTATTTACACTATCGTAGATAAACTAGAGGTGAGATAATCTCTTTGTGGTAATTACACATGTATAATGGGATATACTTTGTAGATCACAACTATATAATCTAGAGGTTTCTTTACTAACAAACATTGAAATGTGTGTCTGTATTGTAATCAAATATTGTTTTACTCTGGTAGTGTTTGTCAATTCTTTGTCTAAAATACTAAAACCTTATTGTGATTTACGAAATGTGACAAGTTTGTAAAATTTGAACCATCATGTAAAGTATATTTTTTAAGGTTGTATCACCTGTTACCTATTATCTTCTACTTATGATATTAGGAATTTAAACAAAGTTTTAATTATATGTTTTATACCTCTCACAAGTGACAAAATGATATTTGTAAAGATGCTTGAAGATGACTAACTGTGATATATACCTCATTTCCAAAAGGTTTCCACACTAAGGCAGCTCTATAAAATATCTTATGAATGGTACTTTTGTTTTTCAAGTAAAATAAGTTCTGAGCTGTTAAATGATAATAATTAGAAGCTTTCAAGAGGGGATAACTTATTAATCTTAATTAGAAAATTTTAAGGGGAGATAAGTTATTGATGTTAATTAAAAATTTTGAAGGGAAGATTATTGGGTAAATATATTATTCAGAAGATTTTAAGGTAAGATAAACTCAAAATGTAATTTAGATGAGTACATAAATCACAGGTATAATTGTAAGATGTCACTCATCCCTCTTCAGATTGTGATAATTAGTAATAGTAATGTTTGAATTAAATGACAGTAGACATACATAAAGTTGTCTATATACATGGAATTATTGACTTTCGCATGTTCCAGATTAAAATGTACTATGTATATAAATGTTTATTATTGTATAAAATAACTTGTACTAGAGTAACACAATCTTAAGATTTCAATGGTACGAAAAAAGTCTCAGTATGTATATTTCAGTCAGCAGGTAGAGGAAGCCTTATCAAAATTAAATATCTCTTTCAGAGGTGTATAAGTTCAAGTTTTAAGTACAGTGTACTAGCCCATTTACAGATTTAAAAATACATACTAGCCTGATTTATATGTTCTAAAGTAAAAACAGATATTTTTCACCACAAGTCATGACATAAAATCTACTAGCCTTTGGTATCAGACTAATAGAATTGAACCCCCCTGTTGTTTTATATATGTAATAACAGTACATATTATAACCGAAAAATATTAATTTCTTTTTCAGGAAAAGAATGCATCAAGATGGACTGAAGTGAAACAATCAGAAGAACAGGAAGTTCCAACAAGGGACATAACTCCAAAAACACATCAGAGTAAAACAGTATCTTCAAATTCAGCAGAAGTCAGTAAAGTTACAAAGGCCAAAGTTGAAAGGTCAAGTCGTCCAGCAGAGATCAAATCTAAAATTTCTTCAAAAGCACGACGAGGGCATCGTTCAGGATCACAAGGATCAGATGATGATGTAAAAAGTGAAATGACAGTGTTGGTAAAAACACATAGACATAGGAGAAGTTCTGAAGGAGAGAAAGATGACCCTAAAAGTGAGCCAATTAAAACCAAAAATAAGCACAGAATTCCAGTGCCAGAAAAAAGTAGGAAAAACAGTGGTGCATCTCGAAAAACTAAACCAGCCCCTCGTGGTGGGAACAGCATTGATACCTTAAGGAGGTCAAGTTCATTATCTTCCCTACCAAACTTGGCAAAAATTCAAGGGGTAAATGCTCTGTCCATACCCAAACCTCCTTCGTCTCAGATGACTGAACAACAGCAGGCAAGACAGTTGTCTCTTCGGCATTACTCCAATTCTCAACCTGACCTCAGAACACTCAGTGCTGAAAATATCACATTTTCACCACCGACCCGTCGCTCACACAGCAAGGACGATATCAATGATCTAGACAATGCAGGTATTGTGTCGATGTCCCGGGAACAAAGTATGTCTAATCCGGATTTACCCCAATCTTCCTCCAGTTCTGACAACCACAAGGCTACAACTGGTCTTCAGGGGGGAAAGTCTGGAAAGGATTCCACCCTCATTTCTGGAAACATCCAGGATAATAAAAAGGATACAAAGAAGAATGTTGATAGTAAAAAATTGAATGTAGGTGCCAAATCAAAAGTGAACTCGGAATCGGAACAGAAAAGACAAATAACAAGTGCCACAAAGAAGCAAGTTGAACAAACTCAGAACAGCTCACAAACAACTTCAAGAAGTGCAAGGACATCTGAACAATCAGAAACGTCGGGAAGTGGGACAGCGAGTGCAGACTTTCCATCATTGGAGGGGTGTAATTCTCTCCCTCATGAGATTGATGGACTACGTTTCACATCAGTGCGACAACAACACATAGGCCACACACTGGACAAATTGTCCAAAGTTTTGAACATGGAAGAAACGCTTAGTACTCTAAACTCAACGTCAAGCAATGAAATACAAGAAAACATTTCCAGACTGCGGCAGTCAGCCCAATCTTCACACGTTGGCTATTCCACACAATCATCAGTTCAAAGTCAGCAGAGCTTTGATCATGCAGGTGGTAGGCGAGGTAACACCTCACCCCAAACCAATTTACGGAATCCGACAGAAACGCCATCACCAAAAACTTCAGACTCCAGTGCACCTGCATCTACCCCCAGCTCAGCAGAGCAGTCCTTTGGCAGTAACACCAGTGGTAGTAGTACTGCGAGTCACTCCCGGGTCGGCAGTAACACCAGTGGTAGTAGTAATGCGAGTCACTCTCGGGTCAGTGCCGTATCTGCCTCCACTAGAAGCTCTGCAAGTTCAGTGACAGGAAGTCAATCTGGGGGTGTGCCAAGTCGTAGAATGAGTCCCAAGGGTTTGAAAAATGCAGTACATTTCGCTCCCTTAGTGACAGAAATAAGCACTAGTGCTAGTCAATCTTTGGAAGATAAAATATCTGTAAGAAAGTTGGATGTCACACCAACTAATAGTATACAGTTTGATTCTGGTGAACAGGGACAGATCAGTCGGACTGGACAGGAAGGAAGTAATTTGGCTAGGAACAGAACATCTGACAGTGGTAGTGTACCTCCAAGTGTCCATGTCACCATCCAATCCTCGGAGTCCATGTTGAGTAAAGTGGCTCTGAGCCCCGAGACAGATTCACCCCAGACTCCAAATGATGGTTTGATCAACAACATGCCATTTGAGACCTATGGACAGAGTGTAGAGGGAGAGATCAATACGTCAGACAAGGAAAATGAGTTGCGTACACAACCTCAGGGAAGATCACAAATCCCTGGTAGATATATTGATGCAGGCCTGAGAGGACCTAGCAGGAATATGGATCAACTCCTGGTGAAATCTCAGAACTCAGATGACGGGTCACAAACCAGTACCTTAAAAGGAAGCCAAGATCTACTAGGAGAACGGTCATCGGTGAGGCAGGAAATGGACCCCCAAAGGGCCACTGAATATCAGTCTACAGATACGGTCAGGAATGCCATTGTCCATTCTCAGGGCCAACAGACGAGGAGTACAAATGTTAATCCTAGGATAGCTGCCCAATCCCAGCCTGTGATGGGAAGAAGTTCCGACGATACGCTGAGATCAACTCAGGAATCAAGCCATCCAGCGATCAGAGGGAAAGTTCCTGTCAACATCAGTGGGAAGTCCTCTTATGTATCACAGCAGATTTACGATCTTCAGCAGAAAAGCAAACAGGATGTGGCTCAACAGCAAGCTCCGCCCATTTTGACTCGTCCAGTGGCTCACACACATGCTGGTACCTTTAGTCAAGTCCCCAATACCAAGGCTGCCGAGCGAACGGTCAGCAGAGGGTCACAGCGTAAACTTAATATGGGTGCTGGTACAAATGTGAACTGCCTTCCTCCTAAAAATGTAACTGGTGATTCGGACGGAGAAAGGGAGGCAAAAGCTGAACACATTCAGAAATATTTGAACCACGTACAACGCCACTCGCTGGAGGCTGATGCTGACTCAGCTGAAGATTCAAAGCGCGCTAATGTCAAAAAGAATTCTCCAAGCTTGCAAGAGCCATTCGATCTACGCTCCACCATCCAGTCATTCACATCTAGTCTGCAATCTTTGAATCAAACTGATGAGGAGGAATTGTTGAGGATACAAGCCGAACACTTTGACAAATTGCGCAGGCATTTGATAGATCAACAGAAACATCAACTTGAGGAGTTGTTTGTTCATCAGCGACGAGAACAAATGGTGCTACAAACAGACATTGAGAAATACCAAAGTCAGCTGCAGGAACAGGAAGAGTTCCTCTCTAAAAACTCACCTTCCACCAGTTACAACAATCTCCCTGGCACCCAACAGGTACTGTACAAACCTTGTGTCAGTTCTCAAAATTTAGACAGAAAATTCCATGTAATATTTGCTTTACAGTTATCTACTTTTTTGTGTGAGAAAGAAGTTTTCAGCCCACCATCATCAGTTGGTTTCAGGTCATGTCATTATCAACTATGTAGACTTTCGTTAGGAAATCTATATTTTCAGTATCTAATCGAAGATGTTTGACTAAATAGCCCCTTTAAGATTAAATCATCTAATATTTAATATATGCTAAATTTAATATAAATTTCCTTATCATGATCACTATGACAAATGGGGGAGAGCAAAAAGTGTTGAAGGAAACCTTTTAATTTGTTACAGGTACCGGTAGCCTATGGGCAGTCTTCTCAAGATCCAACACATCAACTTCAGCCTCCTGACAACAAGAACATTCCGAGTCACTTCCAGTCACATCATCCATCACAGTCTCACTATCATATACAAACAAGTTCACACCCAAATACACAATCGAATTCACAGACACATTCACAATCAAATTCCTATTCACACCCTTATTCAAATTCACATTCATTTTCACAGTCTGATTCTTATTCTCATCCACAATCCAATTCACAAGCAAATATTCAGCCTAATCTGCCCTCTCAACATCAACCACAAGTACATCCTCAGCATCAGCAACCTAACCCCCAGCAGCCTAATATTCCCCTTCAGTCAAACATCCCCCAGCAGCAGCCAGGTCCAGCCAGCCAGTCCTATCAGCAGAGCTATCCATACCAAGAGCAGTATGTCCAAAGGACTAATCCGCACCCTGGATACACACAGCAGCAATATACATCCTATGACACAGCATATTCGACAGACCGTGGCAGTTATCCCCATGGTCTGTCGCATGCGTCTACTAAAGTGTTACACCCAGCTCAGGCCCAGGGTCAGACACAATATGTGTCCCAGTCTAACTATCATCAGCCTGTAGATATACAAGATCCCAATTATTTCAGACACCCTTCCACCCAGCATCCACCTCCTGACACCCTCAGACATAATCATCCACCACCTCCTAAGTACTCCCAGCATGATCCACGCAAACTTAACGGCAATCCGTACGAATTACACAACAATGGAAGAGATCCACGGAACCCGTTGTCCAATCCACAAGGCCATAACGATCAGGGCGAGTCCTACCAGTCTCCACCACGTGACGATGCCAACACCAGTCATCAGTACTCATATGTACCAAGTCCTAGTCTGTATTATAATCCGCGAGATAATGGCTCGGACATCAGCACCTTCAGCAAGGCCACGCCCAAACAGAGTCTCACATTCAACAATCACTCCACGCCCACACCAAAGATCCACAAACCTGTGCTTCGGTCGCCGATCAAGCAGCCTTCCCTTGCTTTTTCTGACCAGCATGTGGTTGTACCTGAATTGGTAAGTACAATGTGCCAGTCTGTGGCATTGTAATGATACATGTAATAAAAAAAAAAATTGTACAACCTTCAATCACTTTATATTCAAGCCCACCCACTATTTCATAGATTTTACAGAAGATGGTCATAATTTGAAGAGGTTTTGTTGTGTATGAGGTTAAATTAAGAAATAAATCCATTGTCTATTTTACTCTTTGTTTTCATGGGGAATTTTGAATAACAAAACCATTTCTAAGATCATTTTTTAACACATGTCGGGGCCAAAGAAATTTCCTCTTTGTCAATACAGTGTTTATGCAACTTGAGTTATAAATCAAGATTCTGATAATTGTACTGTAGAACATCCAAAATTAGAAAAAATGAAAAATATATTTATTTCATATATTCTGGTTCATACGTATACACTCCAGGCATACAATGCGAACCTGAAGCGATGTTTTGATAGAGTGTCGGCATGTGTCCGAGGTTACCTCACACGGAGACTTCTACGCACAGAGAAGGTCCAGGAGATTCTCAAAACCATCAAGGTATGCAAAAACACACAGGATACTGTCAACTAATACAATAATTGTGTTTCTGCATTTTTCAATATATCAAAATATTTCCCCCATGTTGATGTTACCCTCTTTTTGAGGCTTGGTTACAACAAGTATCTGACAGATTAGAAGTTTTATCCTGTGTAAATTTTGCCTAGCTCTTGGTCAAGAGTGAAACAGAGGAATATAAACCTGGCATGGAAATTGCTCATTTCACATTTGATGTAATGTTTTGTAAACGTTGGGTATATAGAGGTTACACAACGAGTGGTTGTTGAATATGGTATTTATTTCACTCGTATAAGTTAATTTTCAAAAGTTACAAAAGACACCAGCTTTAGCGAGTGTCTTTCTGTAACTTTTGAAAATTAACTAACGAGAGTGAAATAAATACCATACTCAACAAACACGAGTCATGTGATCTGCATGTTTCTACCACAATCTCATGATCAGTCGGAAATAACATACACACATGTGTTTGTTGACAAGGCTGGCGTAGTGATATGACCCATATGTAAAAAGCCACTCATTCAAAAATGACCTTTTTTTTTACAAATTTAATTATTGTTAAAATTAATGTTTCGGCAACAACTTTGGGAAAAAATAAAATAGATGAACGACTTTAAATATTGAGAGTAGCAGTATTGCATTAATTTATATAAATTAACCACAAACTATATGCGCGTAAGCATATCGTACGAAGTCTGCCTCCCGCCAAGTGATGAACCGTTGTAGACGAACTTATCGCTGTCAATATCCAAAACCATAGGCCTACGTTTCTTCGTGACGGTTCTATGGTTGACGTTTATAGTGAAAGTTCAGCCATAGTCAGTTTGTCTAAATAGCGATAACAGGACGTTGGGAGAACATAATATTTCCCGACGCTGTGACAGATCTTGTTTTGGTTTCACGACCTGGACACGATATCGAGGGTCTGTAGCAATTTTGCCTGAAACTAGCTATCAAATCTTTAAGTATCATCTTTTAATATTGCCTTAATAACCCCCCTTTCCGCATAACCTCACAAAGTCAACAACACTTGTCGGATGTTGACAGCCGACGACGTAAACAAAACACCAAGTGGCAAAAAGCATGTGGAAAAAGTCTTCCCAGTCAAAGTTCATCTTCTCGACCAATCAAAACTCTTGAAGGTCATATACCACGTGTGGTATATAACTCATATTTATCTGACAGTCTGCTTGTTTATACAATGATCTGAGAGTGGAATAACACAGCGTTTTGTGGTAGAAATGTTGATTCCAAACCGTTCAGGATAAAATATGAAATAATTGTTAAGGAAGGGGAACAATGTTAAATTGACAGTAACAGAGGTGAGAAGTGAAACTAAGGGCAACATAAGCAAAAATGTCTGGATATTGAAAAAAGTACAAATTTTAAGGTAAATTGCGATGTATGTGTTTGGTAGGGAATTGATGCGGAACCTGTTACTGAGAGGTACTGTAAATCCTAGATTAACTTATAGGTTATCACAGGATTCAGAGTGTGCTTTAGAGAGGCTCCAGAGTATCAATATATTTGGAACAAATATTATACAAAGGGGTATTTATGGAGGCACGGTAGTCCAGTGGTAGGACGCGGGGCTCATGACCGAAGGGTTGGGGGTACGAGGCACGGCAAGGCACGGCACGGCACTATGCATATGTTATATCTTGGAGTAGGATACTTTACTCCGCTTGTTCCAGTCTACTCGGCTGTAAATGAGTACGTGTATGGGCAGTGCTAGAATTGTAGAATGCTAGCTGTTAGCGCCGAAATGGCATCTCCGGCTGTATGCTCCCCAGGGAGTTGAGAAAGGTATTGGCTGGTTGCAAAGGCCTAAAAAAACAATGGACAATAATTTGTGAACGCTTTGAGACGACCTACGAACTAGGTTGTGATAAAGCGGTATAAAAGAACCTCGAATTATTAATTATTATTATTTTTACTTGTACTTGTATAGGAGTTACCAGACATACTTTTGGTTTTTAGGATACAAAAGATTTTGCATATCAATTCCAAGCAGAGACACCAATTAAACGAGGGGATTTCTCCTCTTCAGACCGACATCTTCTTGACCGGATCATAGCTCAGGTAAATGTTTCTGACATAATAAAAACACTTTTCAACTAAATTCAATTGGAAAACTTTAATTTTTGTCTTTGTTTGATGAAAGTCCTTTTGAAGTGATTAGTTTTAATGTTTACTGGTTATTAAAAAATGTATATTTTTTGGTCATGAAATTACTGGTACATGTACTAACAATTTTCTGGAAATTCTGGACATATTTTAAGTGAAAAAAATAAGTTTTTGAATACAGTGTAAGCTTTTCTCTGCTCAGAAGTTTACTTAACATATAAGCTTTAATAGTATTTTTCTCCAATCTGCATTGACAGCTGCAGGCAGCTCTGTTGGACGTTCATGAGATTTTTTTTGAGATTCCGGTTTGGGAAAGGATGAGTTTGATTGCCCAGTCCCGCCAGGCACAGGAGGAAAAACGCCTCAGGGAAAGTGTAAGTTTATTCTGGGAGAGACAAGATTATCTCCCTTTATTAGTTCCCATTTTCTGTTAGTATTCCATCTGTCCCAAGTTTTGTGTGGGCCATACTTCTCAAATACTTCTCCTTGATTAGAACAAGAGGCCTAATGGGCTTGAAGACACTCGTTTGATTTATGCAGCCCTTTTACTTTGTAGTATTCCTTTCCACCGAGCCTCTGGCCAAATATCGTTATTCGTGACCATTTGGTTCTTAAAAAGATGTTGTGTTGATATTTACAAATTGAATAATTGTGACATTGAATATCAATCAACTGCAATTAAAGGGAATTACAAACTAGATATGATATAGACCTATTGTTTCTTTTTAGCAGACTGTGACTTTGAATATTGGTCAAGGTTGCTTCTTTTCAAATAATATGTTGCACTACCTGCAGATAAGCGTCATACCAAATATTATGACTATAGACCTTTTAGTTCTTCAGAAGAAGTTATTTGAGTGCATTAACAAATTTACATTTGAATAAATATCAAGGTAATTTCTTGTCACATACCTTGTGACAGAAGTTGTTGGTACATATTATAGTAATATGAAATATTTTATCTATGTGTCTCCTGACATATCTTTACAAAGTAGAAATAATTTGATACATATGTGTGATTTGTGTTGACAGACTGGGACAAGATCAAGTGTATCCAGTTCTCATCCGAGGATCAGCTCGGCCACACTCAAAGCTATTGAGCGCAAACGCAAGCAGTATCCTTTAAGGGTTTTTTTATTCATTGGACCAATACCAAGTTTAAAGGTTTTCCTCAAATACTATATTTTTCTTAAGTTAGGTAAAAATGAAAAACTTAGGGTAAAAACTATAATTTTCAGTGAGTATTTCCTTAACCTTTGACCTCAGAGAAGAGGAAGTTGCAGTGTCTGCAGACTCAAGACCTAGGTCTGCCCCACCTCCAGTTGGCAATACAGCATTTCCTTCCTCGTACGGCAATGTTCCCTCACAGGTCGCAACTCAGGCACGCATTAACTCCCAAAACAATGCCCGGCCAAATGCGCAAGTTCACGCCACAATTATGGATCAGCGGTAAGAAAGTTACATTATCAGTAATGTTTTGCTCTTTTTATGCCTCCATCATTTTATTGGCAAGGATTTGAACTCCATTAATGGATTTTCTGAATTACAGTAAGAGTGCCAACATGTCAAAATTTGTGAAAATGAATCTCCTCATCGAGTCAGAGAATGGCGCTTATATATATATGTATAAATGAATGAAATAGGACACACACAAACCCATAGAATGACTGTAACTCTGACCAATATAAGCAAATGAGATGAAGATTAGCCAGTCTATGAATAATAAGTAGATTTCAAAGTTTTATTGATGTAAATGAAAATCTATTTACAGAGCTTTGAGGCCACTGCCAGGTCAAGGTCAGAGTAGCCAAACCCAAGGTCAGACATCTCGGATAACCACAAGGTGAGTGATAACTACCATAATTACTCAGGTAAAAAGTACTATACATGAAATTTGATGAATTAAAGTGTTGCATACATTGTGATCTATTACAAATTTGGAAAAAAATAGTTGATTTATCACAGTCTTTTCTTTACACCTATATTTTGATCAATAGTGTGTAATAGATGATATGTGTATTAAGCATTATTAATCGCAGCAAGAACTATCTTCTGTGAAAACAATTCCTGTAGTGTTATTAAAAGTTTATCTAAAAAATTTCACATATTCATAGCTGGTATATCATAAATACACACTAAAAATTGCTTTTGTTTTCTCTTTTCTGAAGACCAAAAGAGAGACCCCAGACTGCTCCTAACCAGACAACAGGAAATACAGCCCCCCATCCATACCTCATTGCCAAGTCCAAAAAATCAAGTATCCCCTCATTCAAAGGTAGGTCAACCATTACTCTGTTCATTAATTACCCTTGATTTTTAAGGGACATTAGGTATGGAAATAACACACAGCTGAACTTTTAAGTGTTGCAGAATTTTTTCAGGAAGATAGGATTATTTTCTTTGTAATTCATAACATTTTTTTCTCCCTTAATTTGTAACATTTTTTTCTCCCTAGGGATATTATGGGTGTCCTTGGTTGCATGTTTTAAGAGTCGTACGTTACAGTATCATTGTGCACGAGGCAGGACCACTGTTCTTGAGTCATTTGAAATATTATAAGAGCTACTCTCTATGTAGGCACACTGAAACTGTTCTTGCTCTCAAAACTTGTGACCACACACACCCTGTTTATTTTTGTTGGTGATCTTTTATGCTTAAGGGGTTATGTATGTGGGTAGTAAGCGCAAAGCCCAATAGCTCATACTTATAATCTTGATGTCAAATTCTAAAAATGTGGTCTTATCCTATAGGGAGTAGCTATAGATAGGTGAAGTATCTAAATTATGTGTTTGAATTATCTAGAAAAGACAAAATTTGGCAATATAAAACTTAATATCAATGTTAAATAGAAGATTGGAGATATCTTACCACTAAAAGTGGAGGTAAATGTATACGACTTCATGTTTCAGGCTCATATGTTTGATCAAAAGAAGGTACTAGATTTAAACTGTTTGTAATAGATGTTTGTGAAAAAAGTTAAAGATTAAATAAACCATTGTTTGAAACTTTCTACTGACATAATGTTTAAAGTTAATTCTTCAGATCATACTAAAAATGTATTTCTCATTCATTCATTAGCTGATATGAAGAGTAGACTATCACCACAATCATCAAACCATTTGTGTGTGTGGGGGTTATTAACTACTCATTGAAGGATACATGCTACCCTTCTGTGACAAGCGCATTCTTTCCAGAAGAGTTCCTACACAAAGAATCTAAAAATGCTTTTGCATTGATAAAAGATATAATGAACCACTAGTCCCTGCTTTAAGGGTCCTTGTACCGCTGCCAAAAGCTCTAACTATGCACGGGAAACCAATTTTACAGGCAGTACTATTCCGTCTTTGCGTATTGCAGAGTTATCTTCTCTTGAGAGAAGGTATTGAATGTTACGTCATTGGTTTGTGTGAGAAAATTACGTTGTTTTCTCAAAAAATGATGACGTTACTCTCACAATCAAATGACGTAACAATCAATACCTGCTCTCAAGAGAAGATAACTCTGCAATACGCCAAGACGGAATAACGTTAATAAATCATTTCTGGAAAGAAAACCATACCTTGTGGAACTTCTATGAAAAAGACAGGAGATAAAATAAAAATAATATAATCAGAAAAGAATGGTGCTAGACAGAGATTGAACCCTGGACTTCAGATTGTTACACTATCACTCTAACTGATAGATCTACCTGGTCAATGGAAGTGTCCTCGGCTAACTGCTTCAATCATATCCAAAACGAAATTAAGGGGAGGTTACTGCAGATACGAAAAAACCCAGTGGGACAGGTACTTTCACACAAGTCACAGCTATATAGTGGAAGGGTGATAGTTCAAAGAAAATGTTTATGTAAAAGTGTCCTTAACAATCACAGGTTTGCTGTGCATATATCCTTTTGTGCTCTGAAATTAATGTAGATACATCAAAATTACAAACAGTCAAAACTATTTTTCAATTAGCCGTATTTAACCGTTTGTTTTTAAATAATCATTCATTATTCCTCAAAAACCAAACCATTGTGTGTCTTGATTTAATAGATTACAGGTATCAGGATAATATGTATTACATCATTATTTTGCTATTTCAATAAAACATTGATCCTCTTATTATAATAGTTTGTTGTAATAATGGTAGTGGGGAAAGTTCTATACTTGAAGACTTAAGTTAACCAAGGTCTCAAGGAGAATCAGTCTGAAGTTTATTTATTGAAAGTGAAGCAATGAATGTTTTTTTTGGGGTTTTTTTTAATGAAGTATTATTTGAATTATTCAATTATCACATGGCTAACTTAAGTGAAAGCAGAAGTTAACATTATCAGTTTGTCAATTTATCATTCCATCTGTTGTCTATCTGTCCCATATGTGTTTCTCAACAATTCTTTTAATGTTTTATCTGTGCATATTATATGATACTCAAATTAATCTGATTTGCACTTTCGAAACAATATTTCTACTAAAAAAAATAACAACGGTATCTATTTTTGCAGAAACTGTTAGACACCAGTATGTAGTTAAGATTTATACTGCAAGTATTAAAATCTTTTTGTTTATTTACAGACAAACAATCCAACAAAATCACTTCCAATTCAAAGTCAGCCAGTACATCATCAACAGCAACAACTGCCGCCAAGAATAAACCTGCGGGGTCAAAGATCAAACCGAAAACAACAGACAAGGCCTCAAAAGCATGGAGAGGTTGAACAAAGGGGGAGAACTTTGTAGCAAGAGGAACTTGATTACCTCAAAATGTGCAACAGGAGACCCATGAGCACTTGATCAATTTTAACAGAATTTAACATTGATAGATTGGACCATGAAATAGTAATAATAATATACAACATTTATATAGCGCCCTATATAATTTGTAAAATTACTCTTAAGCGCTTTACAACATATGGATAATAGTAATGGTTATAATTGTGAAAACAAAAAACAAAGGCTTACAATCATTTTTATAGATTTAAACAAGCAATGTGCACATAATCGAACAAATAAAAGGGTGGTATTTACATGACGTCTTTGCAAAGATTCTGAAATGCAGACGTGAAGAGGTGAGTTTTGATGTCCCTCTTGAACTTGGCCAGGGTATTTGACTTTCTAATAGCAGATGGTAAGCTATTCCACAACGAAGCCGAAACCCTCTCAAAAGATCTGTTTCCGTAGGTCACTGTACGAGATTTTGGGACACACAACAAAGATTCTGACTCTGACCGCAGTGATTGTAACGGCTAATACAGGGTATAACAAGCTCCTGTAATACTTGGAAGGCAAAACTAGATAAATGTGTATGTTTTTGAGTTCAGCTGTAAGATTATAAATTTCACTCACCGGTACCTTTGTCCAATTTACTAGTACAGTAAATTGAAATGAAACATTAAAAAAAAAAATTGTGTTCATAAGTCATCAGTGGTTTAAATTGTTTTGCTCAGTAGGTATTATAGCTCATTATGGTTAGGTTATGAAAAGCCAGAATTCTGTTTCTGTATGTCCTGTCCTGTCCTGTCTTCCTATGTCCTGTCCTGTCCTGTCTTCCTATGTCCTGTCTTCCTATGTCCTGTCTTCCTATGTCCTGTCCTGTCTTCCTGAGCTCTTATTCCTCATTCTGATAATTACCGTAGTGAGAAACCGCATGATTAACATGTAAACATGTACAACTAGTGCCATTTTCACGTCTATTTTTTTTACGTAAATTGTTCAATGAAGTCTGAACAAATTTCAATGCATTACTTTTTACCAAGAAAAGTAAAAGTTTCTTCATTTTGACTGACCTTTACTCAGATGTGACACTAACTCCATCATCAGAATTCATTTCTAACTTATATATTATGTACTTTGAAACATTTTCCCGTCATAGTCTGATATATCAGAAAGAATTTGCTAGCCCATGTTTACCTAAGCAACACTGACTCACATATGCATTGTGTCATTTAAACCACCACCGTTTTGATGTGTTCAGTTTCTGTACTATACAAAGTATCTTCATGGAGACAGGAGGATCCTCAATAACCAATATATGCTATTACTTAGGTTGTGGTTAAAAAACAAGGGAGATAATCTCGTTAAAGTTCTTTGATCAAACAAAGTCTCTCACTCTATGCAAACGTTTGATGTTTATTTCGCAGTTTTCTGATTTCATTCTAATGCTGATGTTATTAAAAAGCAATTTCGTAGGAAAGGAAGGTTCAAATACACTCCTGGGAATGGTTTGTTGGTAGTAATTATTTTGAGAAAAGAAATCTGTTAATCTGGACTTTGAAAATCTGGAAGAATATCTTTGTGGACTAATACCATGACTGAATTACGTCAAAGTGACATTTACTGTTTCGAGATATTTCTTCTGTTGAAAGTATCAATGAAATGCCATAGCCTGAATCAATTTAAAATGAAATCTGAAATCTGTGGATATTGAAATGTGATGCTAACTAATATAAAAATATCATGTTTGTGATGTATATAAAGTTTACCATGCTCTTTCATCAAATGTTTGGGAAGAGAAGGTTGGTTATTATCAGGTTTCTGTAGAAATGTCATGAATTCTAACAGAAGTATATCAGTATCTTATCAGAGGGCAAACATCCATTATTTTGTTATACACATTGTTTGTATAGAAAGATCACAGTTTCAAAAGCACTGAAACACAAATCCAGTATTCTTGCATATACATCACATGTACCTTTGTTTACCTGAAATGTGAATTTATGTATTTCATACTAGTCTCCAGAATGCTAAACACTGCAAATCAGTTATATCTAGTAAGAGAAATAGTTTTTACATAAATTAACAGGTGGAAAAATATACAATTTCCAATTCATGTACCTTACAATAATTATATTTTATAAATGTCATTTTTTTTTTAGTAAAGATTTGATCACTTCATAAATCTGAATTGTTTTGCAAAAATTCAGTCCAGAGGTAGTTATAACATTGAAATGTATAGCATCCACTTATGGGTAAATTTCTAGTATTTGTGAATGAAACATAGAGCCATAATGACAGAATAAAACTCTCTATAGTATAACTGTTATTGCTCAAATTTGGGAATTCAAATACCAGATAATAAGTCATTTGATGCATAATAAAAAGTCATGAACATTAGGCATGTCTTACTCCCCCCCCCCACTCCCCCACCCACTCCCCCCTAGCATTCTGGACACCTGTCTTACTCCCCCCACCCACTCCCACCCACACCCCCTTAGCATTCTGGACACCTGTCTTACTCCCCCCACCCACTCTCACCCACTCACTCCCACACCCACTCCCACCCACACACCCTTAGCATTCTGGACACCTGGAAGTGACCGTTTGACTGCTGAACATGCTGTCTGTGCTTAAAGCATTTACTAAAGTTTCACTGTGATAGACTTACAATACTGGGATACTGTTGTTATGTTACACTGTGATAGACTTACAATACTGGGATACTGTTGTTATGTTACACTGAAAATTAACCATTGATGAGTGGACATCTCTTATCAGATAGTAAGGACACTATATGTATACACTTACATTTCATGTAATCACGACAATAGTATTTCAAGAAATATTTGATTTGATCGTAATCTTTGTATTGTGGAAATTTGTTAACTCATTCACCCCTGACATTTCATAATAAACTATTCCAACCTTTGAATATGAGGAGTTCAAATGTGTCTTCAGAGGTGAATGAGTTCATCTTAACTTTGAAAATCTGGAAGAATAGCTGTGGAGTGTGGACTAATACTTTCCACAACTGAATTACGTCAAAGTGACATTTCCTGTTCCAGGATATTGTTTTGTTTGTTTACCTCAAGAATGAAATGGAAACGTACAATTGTATTTAAACAAATGTTGATAGTGGTAAGATAGGAAGAAAAGTCATTGTGATAGGTAACAACATTTCCCAGTAAACATTATGTAGACTTGTTATAAAACCATGAACAAAAGAGATGACATTTTATTTATACATACATTGAAAAAATGAATAAACCAAATCATAACATTGAATGGAAAATGTTGGTTTTGAACCAATTTATTACAAAAAATTGTGTTTGTTTTTGTTTACCAATAAAATGTGAAATGCCATAGCCTGAATCAATTTAAAATGAAATCTGAAATCTGTGGGTATTGAAATGTAATGCTAACTAATATAAAAATATCATGTTTGTGATTTATATAAAGTTTACCATGCTCTTTCATCAAATGTTTGGGAAGTGAAGGTTGGTTATTATCAGGTTTCTGTAGAAATGTCATGAATTCTAACAAAAGTATATCAGTATGTTATCAGAGGGCAAACATACATTATTTTGTTATACACATTGTTTGTATAGAAAGATCACAGTTTCAAAAGCACTGAAACACAAATCCAGTATTCTTGCATATAAATCACATGCACCTTTGTTTACCTGAAACTCCTCCTAAATGACAGAGGATTTCGACCAAATTCAGTCTGAAGCATCACTAGGGGAGGGCAATCATTTCTTAAATAAATGAGGTTGGTTCGACCCCAGAGGCCAGGGGGGCGGGCCCTGAAGGGGAACTTAGCTAAATTTGCTTTAAAACGCATCTCCTCCTTAACGCCAGAGAGGGTTCCAACCAAATTTAGTCTGAAGCATCACTAGGGAAGGGCAATCAAACTCAAACTTGTCCCGAGATATTATGGTCCTTTGTATTTGTGCGAGGTTTGATCAAAATCCCTCAAGGAATGAAGCCGCTAGAGCGCTGACAATCATTGGTGTTACGTACGTACGTACATACATACGTACACAGACGGACGGAGACGAAAACCATGTTCCCCCCCCTGGTTTCACCGGTAGGAGACTAATAACATTAACATTTTGACTCGATTAGTCACATGATATAGCAAGGTTACAAACCGGAAATTTCAAGGTCGATGGAAGTTGAGGTTGCTGCAGACTTAAGTGTTTTAAACGTATGTAAGTGATATCATATATGTGCAGTGTTATTTTCAAAAACAACAAACAAAACAAAAAATGTATAAACATATATTTAATAAATCACAACAAGAGTACCGCAGGGTGGAACAATATACGCCCGTTGAAAGCCATATAGTGTTATATACTTTCTTACATTGAAATAAGATCTGCATCATTCTAAGAGTGGTAAGCTAACATGCTAACATGCTATAACAAGAGGCTCAGAGGGCCTGTATCGCTCACCTGAATTTGTTTAAAATAATTGGTATGAAATAAAGATATAGCACTCCATGGTAGGTGCTGTAAGTAAATATGAAATTTCAGAAAAATCCATCCAGTACTTGAGATATAATAATAACAAGTACTAATTGTAATGGGGGACCATTACAGAAATCCCCGAACCTGCCCCCATAGTCGCAAAGATACATCAGAAAAGGATCGCAATGGCATAAAACGCCTTCATACTAAATTTGAGTGAAATCAAACAATATCTGAATTTCGACCAATCTGAAGCCTACATGTTGTTGGTATGGCAACGAAATCTATACAGTTGAATTAGCAGTCCCCTAATACCCCTATATACCAATTTTGATAAAAATCAGACAATATTTAAATTTTGACCAATCAGAAGCTTCCATGTGGTTGCTATGAGGTTGCTATGGCAACAAAACCTATGCAGTTGAATTCGCAGTCTCCTAATACTCCTATATACCAATTTGTATCAAAATCGAACAATATCTACCCCATAGTCGCAAAGATGAATCAGAAAATGAATGCAATGCCTTTATACACCTACATACTTGAAATCCAACAATTTCTAAATGCAACCAATAAGAAGCCTCTGCGTGGTTGCTATGGCAACGAAGGTATGCAACTGAATTTGCAGTCCTTTAATACCCCTATATATAGATAGTCATCAAAATTGAACACTATCTAAATTTCGACCAATCAGAAGTCTCTATGTGGTTGATATG